AGCCAGAAGTGGCGCTATGGCTCACGTGGTAGAGCGCTAGCCTTGAGCTGAAGAGCTGAAGGACAGTGCCCAGGCCCAGAGTTCAGACCCCACGACCGGACCCCCCCCCCAAAAAAAAAAAAGGTTCAGGGACAGCAACCAGGCCCTGAGTTAAAAAGCCCCACGACTGACAGAAAAACAAAACCAATATAAAATGTATATTGCCAGGTGCTGATGGCTCATGCCGGCAATGCTAGCTACTCAGGAAGCTGAGATCTGAGGATCACGGTTTGAAGCCAGCTGGGGCAGAAAATCCCCATGAGACTCCAATGAATTACCCAAAAAAGTTGGAAGTGGTGCTGTGGCTCAAGTGGTAGAGTGCTAGCCTTAAGCAAAAAGAGGCTCAGGGACAAGTGCCCAGGCCCTGAGTTCAAGCCCCAGGACCAGAAATAAAGTAGATAAAACCAGTTGAAAGATCTCTGAAGGTATAAAGCCATGATCATTATTCAGCCACCAGGAAGAAGTGATTAGTTTCAAAACAGAACATGTGGATAAATGCTGGTGTCTCACTCCTGTAGTCCTAGCTACTCAGGAGGCTGAGATCTGAGGATCATAGTTCAAAGCCATCCCAGGCAAACTAATCTGTGAGATTCTTATTTCCAGTTAATGAACAAAAAGCTAGAAGTGCAGCTGTGGCTCAACTGGTAGAGCACCAGCCTTGAGTGAAAAAGCTAAAGGAGAGCCAGTGGTCCCAAGTTCAAGTCCCAATGCCAGCAGAAAAACAAATAATGAAGGGACATACATGTAGGTGGCTTCAGGTTGGATTAGATGGGGGTGTAGACACGCTGTTAGACTGGCAGATGTATCAGGAGCTATGTGTGGTACAAGCAGGTGAACCAAGGGGATCTGGACTCACTGGGGCAGAAGACAGGGGGCAGCCGAGGGCCAAACTCTTCTCGTTCATCTATCTGCATCTTCTGTATTGGGAAGGGAAGTGTGAGCTCCTGGGGTTCCGGCTCGCTGGCTGAAAAACATAAGGATATTCATTTCATTCATCTGCTAGTCTTGATGTGTGTCAGAATCTACTTCAGGTTTTTTGCCAGCACCGGCAGTTGCGTGTACCTAGGGACAAGTACGCCTGTCTCTGCCAGCTGGAGAGACCAGACACATCCCAGAGGAAGACTTAGCTGAGAACAGATACAATCTTACATACAGACACACAGGACAGAAGACCCTGTCCTCTAACAGAAACTTGGATGGTTTTTGTTTTTTTTTGGGTCTGGTCGTGGGGCCTGAACTCTGGGCCTGGGCGCTGTCCCTCAGCTCTTCAGCTCAAGGCTAGCGCTCTACCACTTGAGCCACAGCGCCACTTCCGGCTTTTTTCCTTTTGCTTATGTGGTGCTGAGGAATCAAACCCAGGGCCTCAGGCATGCAAGGCAAGCGCTCTACCACTGAGCCATCTTCCCAGCCCCTGGATGTTTATTTCATGAAAAATATTAACAATGAGGTATAGTGGAACAGGGCTGTCATCTCTGCCTGGACTACAGAAAAACACAATTGATGCAGGCCTATGACTATAATCCTAGCTACTCAGGAGGCTGAGGTTTGAGGATCTTAGTTCAGAGCCAGACAAGACTGGAAAGTCTGAGACATACAAATACATCCCCCCCCACATATATGTATATCATATATGATATATAAAATATATATGAAATTCTTATAGATATGAATATGAATATGTGTCTCATGGGCTCATATATATCATATATATATCAGAATATGATAAACATATAAATATACATGAGGGACTGGGAAGGTGGCTTGGTGGTAGGGTGCTTGCCTAGCATGCATGAAGCCCATGGTGCCCTCAGCACCACATAAACAGAAAAAGCCAGAAGTGGCACTGTGGCTCAAGTGGTAGAATGCTTGAGCAAAAGAAGCTCAGGGACAGTGCCCAGGCCCTGAGTTCAAGACCCCAGGCCTGACCAAAATATAAAATGAAAAAGAAAAATAAAAGCCAGAAATGGCACTGTGGCTCAAGTGGTAGGAAGAGCCCTAGCCTTGAGCATAAAGAGACTCAGGGACAGAGTCCAGGCCCTAAGTTCAAGCCCCAGGACCAGCAAAACCAAAACAAAACAAAAAACCAACCAAAAAAAATAAATACATGGTATGCATGCATATATATATATATATGCATATATATGATAAACATATATGTGTATATGTATATATATTTATTTCTATGTATACACACACATACATATGTTTTTGTGCTCAAGGCTGAAGCTCTACCACTTGATCAAAATATCCATTTCTGGCTTTTTTTGCTGGTTATTTGGAGTCACAGCACTTTCCTTCCTGGGGCTGACCTTGAACTGTGATCCTTAGATCTCAGCTTCCTGAGTAGCTAGGATTACAGGCTGAGCCACTGATGCCCACCTAATTCCCCTGATTTGTGAGGACAGATGAAGTGCCAGCACCTGCCCCTTAGACCTTCAAGCCTGAGAGATGAACATACCCGGTGCTGTGGAAGAGGTTTCCTCCATGTGGGTTTCTTGGGGAAGTTGGAGGTTGGCCTCCACGGCCCCCTCCTGATTGTCCTCACTGTCACCTTGCTCGTCTTCGGAGGATGAGGACTTTTCATCTGAGGAGCTGGCAAAGATAGCCCTGAACAGGTCCATGGACGGGCGCTTGCCTTCCTCCTCAGCCTGCGACTCCACATCTGGCTTTGTGGTCTGTGTTACATTGAAGAGTAAGGAATGAGTAAGCAAGGGAGTGGGAGCCATGTGGGAACACACAGACACAGACATAGACATACACATACACACTTGGAATTAGGCTCGTGTGTATGGGTTCCCAGAGCCACACACTGCCTACCTAAATGAAAACACTCATAAGACCGTGTGTGTGTGTGTGTGTGTGTGTGTGTGTGTGTGCGCCTTTCCTAGAGTCTTGAACTCAGGGCCTATGCACCATCCCTAAGCTTTTTTGGCTCAAGGCTAGCGCTCTTACCATCCAAGACACAGCTCCACTTCAGGCTTTTCGGTGGTTCTTTAGAGATAAGAGTCTCACAGGTTTTCCTGCCCAGGCTGGCTTCAAATCATGATTCTAAGGTCTCAGCCTCCTGAGTAGTTAGGATGACAGGGGTGAACCACTGGCACTGGCTACAACTTTTATTTATTTATTTATTGTCAGTCTTGGGGCTTGAACTCTGGGCCTAGGCGCTGTCCCTCAGCTCTTCAGCTCAAGGCAAGCATTCTACCACTTGAGTTACAGTACCACTTCCAGTTTTCTGGTGGTTTTTATTGGAGATAAGAGTTTCATGGAATTTTCTGCCAAGGCTAGCTTTGAACCGAGATCCTCAGATCTCAGCCTCCTGAATAGCTAGGATTACAGGAGTGAGCCACCGACGCCCGGCACAACTTTTATTTTTTGTAGGGTTTTCTTCCAGTGGGATGAGGAGCCAGAGGCTACCCTTAGAAACTGGTCATTGGAGGCCCAGAAAAATGAAGTCGAGTACAGTTGCCTCTGTGTTGTCTTCAAAAGCCTGCCCAAGCCTTCAGAGTCCAATACTAAGGGAGAGAGTCATGGTAGCGCATACCTGTAATCCCAGCATTTGGAAAGCTGAGGTGGGAAGATCTTGAGCACAAGGGCAACCTGGGCTATGTAGTGAGATCCTGTCTCAGTGGCTCACTTGACAACTATATTCAGTCATTTATATATTCGCCTGTGATTTCCTTTGCATTCAACAGCACAACTTAAGGACGGCGATCAAGTCCTATTGCAGTCCTTCAGCCCACCGAGAAATAGTACATTTTGCCTTCTTGCCCTTCATGCAAGGTTTGCTATTGTGCACCTCCCCTTCTCCCACCCCCGAGTAAAGCCAAGGTCATGGCCAGCCAGGCAGAGACACAGGCAAGATCCAAGTACCTTCTCGGAAAGTGATGCTGGAGCCTGTTCTTCCTCTTTCTTTACAGGGGGACAGGATTCTTGTTTAGGAAGGCCCACTTTTGATCTAGCCAAACTTAAGAATTCACTAATGGAATCTTCTTTCTTTTCTGGCTTAGATGTGTCCCATCGGGATGGTTTCCTGGATTCTGAAAGGGCGGGCACAGATAAAACATTAGGATCAGCAAGTTTTCCACAATGGTGTTCTCAAGGGCTCAGATCTTCGGCGAAGGGCTGGGAAGGTGGTTTAGTGGTAGAGTGCTTGCCTAGCATGCATGAAGCCCTGGGTTTGATTGCTCAGTACCACATATACAAAAAAAGCTGGAAAGCCGGGCGCTGGTGGCTCATGCCTGTAATCCTAGCTACTCAGGAGGCTGAGATCTGAGGATCGCGGTTCAAAGCCAGCCCGGGCAGGAGAGACCGTGAGACTCCTATCTCCAATAAACCACCAGAAAACTGGAAGTGGCGCTGTAGCTCAAGTGGTAGAGCGCTCACCTTGAGCTGAAGAGCTGAGGGACAACGCCCAGGCCCAGAGTTCAAGCCCCACGACCGACCAAAAAAAAAAAAAAAGCTGGAAATAGCACTGTGGCTCAAGTAGTAGAGTGCTAGCCTTGAGCACAGAAAGGCTCAGGGACAGTGCCCAGGTCTTGAGTTCAAGCCCCAGGACTGGCCAAGAAAGAAAAGAAAGAAAGGAAGGAAGGAAGGAAGCAAGGAAAGAAGGAAGGAAAGAAGGAAAGAAAGAAAGAAAACTGCTGAACCCTTGATGGGCCAGCATTGGGCAAAACACTAGAGATGAGGCGACGCCAGAAACAGATCTCCAACCCCACATGGCATGCAGGGAGACTTTTAGCACAGGAGTAGTTTATAGATACTGAGTCATTTCCTTCTCAAAGGAAGAGTCAGCACTATGTATAAGATCAGAGTTCTATCACCTTCTACTTGTGTCTTTGTAGCATATAAAAATTGAGGTCCCAGACAGCACAGATCCACGGAAGGCATACTCACTGTCAGAAGCACGGTGTTCTGGCACTTTCCCAATCGGTTCTGGAGTGGTGGGCAAGGACGAGGACTCTGGGAGTGTCAGAAAGTTGAAGACTGAGTATTTGTCACGTTTCACTCTTGGTAAGCCAACTAATGTGGAACTGGGGATTGCAAAGAAATAAAGAGAATTTTCTTTTTGGGTATGCTTGCACTAGGACTTGAACCTAGGACCTGGATGTTATTTATTGGCTCAAGGCTAGTGCTCTACCACTTGGGCCACAGCTCCACTTTCAGCTTTTCCCTATTCAGGCTGGTTTCAAATGGTAATTCTCAGATCTCAGTCCCCTGAGTAGCTACAATGAGAGGCATGAGCCACAAGTGCTGGAATAAAACTGGCTATCTGGATATAGGATTTGTAGCAATGAATTAGCCAAGGTTAAAAGAAATCTGCAAAACTGCCAAGTCCCATGAGTTACAAGAACATTCACAGAGGGAAAGGGAATTTATGAGAGTATCTAAGCAAAAAGTGAGCACTAGCCAGGTACCAGTGGCTCACACCTATCATCCTAGTTACTGAGAAGGCTAAGGACTGAGGATCACAGTTCGAAGCCAGCTGGGGCAGGAAAAGCTCATGAGACTCTTATTTCCCACTAAGCACTACAAAGACAGAAGTGGATCAGTGGCTCAAGTGGTATATCAGCAGCCTTGAGCAAAGAAGCTCAGGGACAGTGCCCGGGTGTTGAGTTCAAGCCTCAGGACGGACACCAAAAAAAAGAAAGAAAGAAAGAAAGAAAGAAAGAAAAATAAAGTCAGCTTTATCTTGGAGAAATATGGCACATGTCACCATCAAGGCAGATTTATCTTACTTACTTGGGATAAGGGTCAGGGACGTTAAATCGTTTACACAGGAGCTTGTCAGGATGCCACTCAAATGTGTCTCGGGTGAGCTTCCCAAACATCTTCATCTTCACAGCCGATTGTTTGTCATTGACATCATTCTAGGAAAGACTCAGCATTGTTTTATCAAGTAGCCATGAAACCAATTTGATTGTAAATATGTTACATAATAAAGTTACATAATAAAACTTCCAGCAGCTGCCTAGGTTGGTAAAAGAGATCCTCATGTACATTTTTTTCTTAAGTACTTTGGAAGCTAAAGCAGAGCAGTGTTCTTCTATTCTGTTATGCCATCTGTATTTTAATAATTTTTGGTGCTGGTACTGGGACTTGAACTCAGAACTTTGCATTCTTGCTCACCTATTTTTTTTGGGGGGGGGTTGGGTGGGTTGTGGGGCTTGAACTCTGGGCCTGGGCGCTGTCCTTCAGCTCTTTAGCTCAAGGCTAGCACTCTACCACTTGAGCCACAGTGCTACTTGCAGCTTTTTCTGCTTATGTGGTGCTGAGGAATCGAACCTAGGGTCTCATGCATGCAAAGCAAGCACTCTGTCACTGAGCCACCTTCCCAGCCCCTTGCTCAGCTTTTTCACTCAAGGCTACCTGGCATTCTACTATTGAGACACAGCTCTGCTTTCTGCATTTTGGTTGGTTCACTGGAGATAAAAATCTCACAGAGTTGCCTGCCTGGGCTGACTTTGAATCTCAATCTTCAGATCTCAGTCTCCTGAGTAGCTATTATTATTAATTTTTTTGTTCTTGTTGCTGGTCCTGGGTCTTGTACTCAGGGCCTGGGCGCTGTCCCTGAGCTTTTTTGCTCAAGGCTAGTGCTCTATCACTTTGTACTACAGCTCCATTTCCAGTTTGGGGGTGGTTAATTGGAGATAAGAGTCTTATGGACTTTTCTGCCTGAGCTGACTTCCAACTGTGGTCCTCAGATCCTAGCCTCCTGAGTAGTCAGAATTACAGGCAAGTAGCTAGAATTACAGGTGTGAGCCACTGGCACCCAGCTTAGCCGGTGTCTGGGAGGGAAGCCCAGTCATTAGAACATGTGCATTGCATGTGCAAAGTCTTGAGTTCAATTCCTAGCATTGCATTAAAAAAAAAAAACCAATAACAAGTAAAGTAAAATGAAATTCACCAGGTACAACTAGGATGGTGACAGACCTCTTGGTCTCGAGGGACTTCCACTTGATCCGAGTCATCTTCTTCTTTGGCATGGGTGAACCTGGAGGATAAGGTGGAGTGGGAAGAGACATACAGCTGGGCTGCCCGGGCAAACTCTTCCCGCTCACGGCCCCGTTCCCACTCAGTCATGCTGGGGTCCAGGCAACGTTCCAGAGCATCTGTGGAAAGGGGAGAAAGACACTGCTTTACTTCTGTTGGGGGTGGGGGAAAGAAACCTGACTTGGGCGCTGGTGGCTCACACCTGTCATCCTAGCTACTCAGGAGGCTGAGATCTGATGTTTGAGGTTTGAAGCCAGCCTGGGCAGGAAAGTCTACGAGACTCTTATCTCCAATGAACTACCAAAGAAGCAGAAGTGATGCTGTGGTTCAAATTGACAGAGTGTTAGCCTGGACCAAAATAGCACCCAGGGATAGCACCATGGCCAACAACAACAAAAAACAAACTTGCAATCTTCCTGCCTCAGCCTTAGTGCTGAAAACAGGTGTGCACCACACAACCCCACTGCTCTTGTTCTGTACAGTCCAGAAGCCAAAGCCTGAAACCTTTGCAGCAATAAGCAAATCTGGGACTGGAGAGACAACAGGGAAGAGCCCCATTCCGCCTAGATCTTGCACGCACCTTTTTGCCCCTTTTTCATATGCACTAAGTACTCTTCGTATCGCTTTTGCTTTTCTGGATCTTTAGCAAAAGGTTTGAAGTTGCTGGCTGTTGGGGCTGTCCCGCTGCCCCAGGCCGTGTGCCAAGATCGGTCTCCGCCGTCTGGTGAGGAGAGCTGGGCTCTGCTGCCTGAAGCATTCTGGGCCAGGCTCCTAGCTTTGAGTTGAGCTGCTTTCAAGTCAGTTGCCTGCTTCATTTCTTTGATTCGCTCTCTATCTTTTTGGGACAGAAACTCTAATACTGAAGTAGCGGAGCCTAAATAAAAACAGGAGTAAGACATGACAGGAGGATGAGACAAGTCTTTTTACATTTTTCTGTACATCCATATTCAACATTATAAACTTACATAATTAGAGACTAGGATGTTAGATGAAGTGGTTCATCACTAGCCTTGTATCTATTCCTGTGAAGTAGACAGTAATAAAATTATGAGACTCCTAGTATATAATTGAAAAAAAAATAGAGGCTAAAATTTGGACATTTATAGGCTGGGGGGTGTGGCTCAGTGTGGGGGTGTGCAAAGGCCTGAGTTTGATCTCCAGCACTGGAAAAAGATAGAAGTACTCGGGAAGTTGATACCTGAAGATTCCAGTTTGAAGCCATTTTGGGCAAACAAATCTGAAAAACTCTTATCTTTAACTAACCAGTAAAAACTGTAGGTGGAACTGGGAATGTAGCCTAGTGGTAGAGTGTTTGCCTAGCATGCATGAAGCCCCAGGTTCGATTCTTCAGTACCACATAGAAAAAGCCGGAAGTGGTGCTGTGGCTCAAGTGGTAGAGTGCTAGCCTTGAGCTGAAGAGCTGAGGGACAGCACCTAGGCCCAGAGTTCAAGTGCTATGACCAAAAAAAAAGCTGTAGGTGGAGGTGTGACTCATGTGGAAGAGTGCCAGCCTTGAGTGAAAAGGCAAAAAGAGAAAGAACGAGCCGGGCGCTGGTGGCTCACGCCTGTAATCCCAGCTACTCAGTAGGCAGAGATCTGAAGATCATGGCTCAAAGCAAGCTGGGCAGGACAGTATATGAGATTTTTTTTTTTTTTTTGCCAGTTGTGGGGCTTGAACTTTGGGCCTGGGCACTGTCCCTCAGCTCTTCAGCTCAAGGCTAGCGCTCTACCACTTGAGCCACAGCGCCACTTCTGGCTTTTTTCTGCTTATGTGGTGCTGAGGAATCGAACCCAGGGCCTCAGGCATGCAAGGCAAGCGCTCTACCACTGAGCCACCTTCCCAGCCCTGTTCCCTAGCTTTTTTTGCTCAAGACTGGCACTCTACCACTTAAGCAATTCCTCTACTTCTAGCTTTTGCTGGTTAATTTGAGGTAAGAATCTCAGATTTATCTGCCCAGGCTGTCTTTGAACTTCAATCCTCAGACCTCAGTCTCCTCAATACATAGGAAATTACAAGTGTGAGATATCAGCTTCTTATCTTTTCCTTCCTTCCTTCCTTCTTCCTTCCTTCCTTCCTTCCTTCTTTCCTTCCTTTCTTTCTGCCTCAGGTTGTTGCTTGGCTTTTCTTGCTCAAGGCTGGTGCTCTACCACTTGAGTCTATACCTCCACTTTCAGCTTTTCTGCTGCCTATTTGAAGTTAAGAATCTCTTGGATTTGTCTGCCTATGCTGGCTTTTTTCTTTTTTCTTTTTTTTGCCAGTCCTGGGGCTTGAACTCAGGACCTGGGCACTGTCCCTGAGCCTCTCTGCTTAAGGCTAGCACTCTACCACTTGAGCCACAGCGCCACTTCCAGCTTTTTCTGCTTATGTGGTACTGAGGAATTGAACCTAGGGCTTCATGCACATAAGGCAAGAACTCTACCACTAAGCCACATTCCCAGACCCTTATCTTTTCAATTAATATAGTAACTGACATTACATAGCAGCACATGTTTTAAGCCCCACACTAGTTTAAAACATTTTTAATATAAAGGTTTTCTTACTTTCTTAAAAGATAAACGTTTAGAAGCCAAGGAAAATCCATCCAAAATTTTGCCAATGTAGCGAAGATCTTTCTCTGGTTCTATAAAATGATGTCACCGATTAATTGCCAACGTTGAGAACAATAAGGGTAAGACCAAAGATATAAATAGTACTTGACATGAGTGATGTCACTCCAAGGGCACAGTACCAGGGTGACAGAATGGTAGGCAAAGCCCTCACACCTCTATTGACACAATGACTTATGACCCTGCCCACAGCACTCTCCGCTGCTTAGCTGTCCAGACAGGAAGCCATGGCTGGCTTTCCAAGACAAGTACTTCCACAGTCTCTCTCTCTCTCTCTCTCTCTCTCTCTCTTTCTCTCTCTCTCCTTTCTGGTTCTGGGGCATGAACTCTGGGCTTAGACACTGTTCTTGAACTTTTATGTTCAAGGCTAGTGCTCTAGCACTTGAGCCACAGCTCCACTTCCAGCTTTTTTTTTTTTCTGGTCGTGGGGGCTGAACTCTGGGCCTGGGCACTCTCCCTCAGCTCTTCAGCTCAAGGCTAGTGCTCTACCACTTGAGCCACAGCGCCACTTCCGGCTTTTTTCTGCTTATGTGGTGCTGAGGAATCAAATCCAGGGCCTCATGCATGCAAGGCAAGCGCTCTACCACTGAGCCACCTTCCCAGCCCCAAATTCCAGCTTTTTGTTGTTAACTGTAGATAAGAGTCTCACATTCTTTCCTGCCTAGGCTGGCTTTGAACTGTGATCCTTAGATCTCAGTCTCCTAAGTAGTTAAGATGATAGGTGGGAGCTAGCACCCAACTTCCTCAATGTATCATTATAAAAAAGGACCCTAGTACCTGTGGCGTAAAAGCTTTCAAGAAAAACTACACAGAGGTTAAGTATGGACAAAAATAAAAACCATAGCTGTAAAAATCACTTCTCACACTTCATGAAAAACCTCCTAAGGGAGGTCCCTCCTGTTGCTTAGCAACCATCCAAATAAAACACAAAAGATAACCCACAACTGGGGCAGCCCGTAATCTAATCCATGACAAATTAAATGTGCCTCTGTCTTTTACAAATGAAATTCTAGCAGGTGATAAAGATCACAAAGGTAGGAAACTGAATAACCAGTGCCCTCTGGCTGGCTCAAAGCAGGAAGACTGGGCACTGGCCATGGAGACAAACCCAAGAACAAAGGTCCTATAATCCAAGCACTTCCTGAACAGATGGCTATGTCAGCAGTCTATACAGTAAGCCTATAACAGGTTTTTGTTTTTGCTAAAAGCACTAATGCTCTACTTGGCCCATGAATTAATGAAAAGCAGGGTTGAAATTAGACATCTCAGAGCTAGGCAATGGTGGCTCATGACTGTCATCCTGGCTACCTCAGGAGGCTGAGATTTGAGGATCAAGTTTTGAAGCCAGAAAAATCTAAGACACTCTTATTTCCAATGAACCAGCAAAAAGCTATAAGTGGAGCTGTGGCTCAAGAAGTAAAGTACCAGCCTGGAGTGAAAAACTTAAGGAAATCACCTAGGCCCTGAGTTCAAGGCCTAACAAATGTACAAAAGAAAAAAAAAGGAAAACTACATAGTTCAGACTACAGATGTGCTGGGTGCTGGTCACTCATGCCTGTAATCCTAGCTTCTCAGAAGGCTGAGATCTGAGGATCACAGTTCAAAGCCAGTCCGGGCAGGAAAAACCATGAAACTCTTATCTCCAATAAACTACCAGAACACCAGAAGTGGCCCTGTGGTTCTAGTGGTAGAGCGCTAGCCTTGAGCTGAAGAGCTGAGGGACAGCGCCCAGGCCCAGAGTTCAAGTCCCATAACTAACAACAACAACAACAAAAGACTACAGATGTTTGTCCCTGGGGGCAGGAAGAAAGGCAGCTGCAGGAGATGGGCCACCACATGGCAGGACCAAGGGATGAAGGCTTACAGATAGCAAAGGAGGGAGTACTCAGACTTTATTGGGGAGAGGTAGGAGCCAGGATATAGATTATCATAGGGTCCAGGATATAGAATACCAGCAAGATTTAGCTTTAAAGGCAGATTTAAACTTCTCTGGTATTTTTTTTTTGGGGGGGGTCCGGTCGTGGGGCCTGAACTCTGGGCCTGGGCGCTGTCCCTCAGCTCTTCAGCTCAAAGCTATCGCTCTACCACTTGAGCCACAGAGCCACTTCTAGCTTTTTTCTTTTTGCTTATGTGGTGTTGAGGAATCGAACCCAGGGTCTCAGGCATGCAAGGCAAGTGCTCTACCACTGAGCCACCTTCCAAGCCCTAAACTTCTCTGTTTTTGTTGTTGCTGTTGTTGTTGTTGTTGTGTGTTTGGTCCTGGGGTTAGAGCTTTTTTGCTCAAGCCTTGTACTCTACCATTTGAGCCACAGCTCCACTTTCAGTTTTGGGGGTTTTTTTGTTTCGTGCCTAACTGGAGATAAAGAGTCTCATGGGTTTTCCTGCCCTAATTGGCTGAGATCTCAGCCTCTCAAGTAGCTAGAATTACAGGTGTGAGCTACCAGCACCTGGCCTACACCTGTTATACACAGTATTAACTCTTTTTTTTCTTTCTCTCTCCCTCTTTTTTTTTTTTTTTTGTTGTGGGGCTTTAACTCTGGGCCTGGGCACTGTCCCTGAGCTCTTTAGCTCAAGGCAAGCACTCTACTGCTTGAGCCACAACAACACTTCTGGTTTTCTGGTGGCTTAGTAAGAGATACAAGTCTCACAGACTTTTCCTGCTCTGGCTAGCTTTGAACTGCAATCCTTAGATCTTAGCCTCCTGAATAGCTAGGATTACAGGCTCGAGCCACCGGCGTCCGGCACAGTATTAACTCTTATGAGATTGACCTATTGCCAGTCATTTAGGTAATGAATTCAGGATGCTTTGCCGGTGGTATAACTAATGTAATTAATGATTAACATGTACTAGTAGAGACATCAATCTTATCAGTTCTTTCTTCCTGAGATTCTGACACTTAGTCCTACCACTGGGTACAGCCTTCTGGAATTACCTCTTTGATTTTTGTATTGCCTGGGCGCTGTCCAGCCATAAAGCCCATCACCAGGTTCCTCATCCTTCAAAACTGTGTCATACTTAGACAGAGTTTCTGTGGCATAGATATCATCATCTTCCTCTTCCAGGGCACCTACACCAAAAGCCTGCAAAAATAAAATAAAATAAGGTTTCAGCTGGGCACCAGTGAGTGGCTCACACCTATAACCCTAACTAGTCAGAAGGCAGAGATCTAGGGATCGTGATTCAAAGCCAGCCAGAGCAAGAAAGTCTGTGAGACTCTTTTCTGCAAGTAAGCACCGAAAAAGCCAGAAATGGAGCTGTGGCTCAAGTGGTAGAGGCCAGCCTTGGGTGAAAAAGCTCAGGGATAGTGCCTACACTCTGAACTCAAGTGCCAAGACCAGCAGTAAATAAATAAATCAAAATAAGGTTTCAGACTGAGTGATTACTGGATCTAGGGTATAAATCACTGAAAGATAAAGTTACTTTAAGAAGGTGACTGAAGGGCTAGGAAGGTGGCTTGGTGGTAGCGTGCTTGCCTAGCATGCATGAAGCCCTGGGTTCAATTCCTTAGTGCCACATTAACAGAAAAAGCTGGAAGTGGTGCTGTGGTTCAAGTGGTAGAGTGCTAGCCTTGAATCTAAGAAGCTCAGGGACAGTGCCTAGGCTGAGTTCAAGCCCCAGGACCGGCAAAAAGAAAAAAGAAAAAAATAATGAACGTGATTGAAGCAGGAAGATGGTGGCTCACACCATTAATTTTAGCTACTAAGGAGGCTGAGATCTGAGGATTGAGGTTCAAACCTAGCCTGGGTAAGAAAGTTTGTGACACTTATCTCCAATAAATTACCAAAAAGCCAGAAGGAGAAGTGTGGCTCAAGTGGCAGAGTGCCAGACTTCAGTGAAAAATCTAAGGAACCAGTGCCAAGGCCTGAGTTCAAGTTCCAGTGCTGGCATATATGTGTGCGCATATACACATACACACATAAGCACACACAAAAGAATGTGAAAGCAGTCCTCACACTGAGAACACACAAACTCTACCAAGAACATCCCCACAGAGTCTCTGCAGTTCATTCGTAAAATCAGGAGAGGGTGCTTTATGAGCCTTTCCAAATGACCCTACGATTCATACCCATATGAACATATGGAACACTCAAGTCGTTCCATATTCTGTGAATGCATTCCTAGAGGGGTCAGAGTGTACGTGGGAAGCACCATCATTTGTCAGGGACTCCAGCCTTAAAAAAACAGAAACACTTTTACCTGGCCTGAAATTCCCAATTTTCTTCCTTTATTCGGTTCAACGTCTCCAATAAGATGACCGGCCCCCTCAGAGCCTCCACCAAAGAGATTAAAATGCTCCCTTGAACTTCCAAACAGTGCTTGGTGGGGATCCAGGCCCTTGTAAGCCAGTCCGTGGACATTATCTTTGGGTGTGAAATCCACAGGGGTGACGTCTTTAGGGGCAAAGGTCACATTATCAGGCAAGTAGTCATCGTCTTCGTCCTGTTTCCGGTGTGTAAAATGGGATTAAGGTGAGTGTATAGCACAGAGAGATAAACTGTGAGATTATTTTAAAATACGGTGATTAATCCCAAACAGAACAATTATCAAGCTTGCATCTATGCTGTTATAAATGACTAAAGCATGTCCCTGAACAAATGATACAAACACAAACAACTCCACTTTAAGAATCTGAATGAACAGGTGACTCATGCCTGAAATCCCAGTTACTCAGGAGGCTGAGACCTGAGGATCATAGTTCCCAGCCTGTCGGGGCAGAGAAAGCCTGTGATACTCTTCTCTCCCATTAAAACCAACAAAAAAGTCTGAAGCAGCTGTGGCTCAAGTGATAAAGTGCTAATCTTTCTTTTTTTTTTTTTTTGCAAGTCCTGGGGCTTGAACTCAGGGCCTGGGCTCTGTCCCTGAGCCTTTCTGTGCTCAAGGCTGGCACTCTACCACTTGAGCCACAGTGCCACTTCTGGCATTTTCTGTTTATGTGGAACTGAGGAATGGAACTCAGGGCTTCATGCATGCAAGGCAAGCACTCTACCACTAAGCCACATTCCCAGCCCTAGAGTGCTAAGAGTGCTAATCTTGAGTGAAAAATACAAGAGAAGGAAGAGAGAGAGAGAGAGAGAATCTGAGCAGGTTGAGGCTTTAGCTCAGAGGCAGTACAATATGTGGCATGCATGAGGTACTTGGTTCAATTTGTGCGCCCCCTCCCCTCTCCCCGACCTGATGCTGTTGCAGAAAAAAACATTAACTGACATAACATGGGCATGGGATCAATTGGTATCAATGGGCCCTCCTAACGTGTCACAATCACAAAGTAACTGCTGAAGTGATACCTCAGAGCCTTCAGAGTCTCCAGGGGGTAAGGCACAGCCGTAGATTTTTACTCCAGGATCTATAAAAGAGGTTGCAAAGGCATTAGTCATGAGTGACCAGACCTATGGACATTTTACAGGGACACAGGGCTGCAGAGGTCAGAGATGGGTCACCAGGAGACTCCCATCCCAGGCCTTGCCCCACCCACACAGACAACAATACTGTGTTGTTCTAATACTATGGAGAATTCCAAGGAAATCACACTGCCCTAAAACACTATATGCAGTTGGACACTGGTGGCTCACACCTGTAATCCTGGCTATTCGGGATGCTGAGATCTGAGGATCACAGTTCAAAGCCATCTGAAGCAAGAAGAGTCTATGAGACTCTCCTATCTCCAACGAACCAGCAAAAAAAAAAGTTGGAAAAGGAGCTGTGGGTTGAGGGGTAGAAACATCTGCCTTGAATGAAAAAACTAAGACAGAACTCAGGCCTACAGTATACAGTACTAGCACCAAAAGTAAATAAAGTTTTGAAACATACATATCTCATTGACCTAGCAATTCTGCCTCTAGAAACATGCAACCATTAGCTGGGCACCGGTGGCTCACGCCTGTAATCCTAGTTACTCAGGAGGCTGAGATCTGAGAATCGTGGTTCAAAGCCAGCCCGGGCAGGAAAGACCGAGAGACTCCTATCTCCAATAAACCACTAGAAAACCGGAAGTGGCGCTGTAGCTCAAGTGGTAGAGCGCTTGCCTTGAGCTGAAGAGCTGAGGGACAGCACCCAGGCCCAGAGTTCAAGCCCCATGACTGACAAAAAAAAAAAAGAAACATGCAACCATTAAAGAGTAGGCTATAAGCTGGGTATCATGACTGTAATCCTAGCTACTTGGGAGGCTGAAGTCAGAGCAGCCCAGAGAAGTCCCCATCTCCATGGAGGTAAGCTGGATGCAACAATGCACACCTGTAATCCCACTAACAATGAGAAGAAGTGGATAGCACATCCAGGCAAGACAGACCCTATATAAAAAACAATCAGCAAAAAACTAGGCTGGGCCTGGTGCAGTGGCATGCGCCTGTAATCCCAGCTACTCAGAAGGCTGAGCCCAGAGGATAGCTTGAGTCCAGGAGTTCTGGGCTGCAGTGTGCTATGCCGATCGGGTGTCTGCACTAAGTTTGGCATCAATAGGGTGACCTCCCAGGAGCGGGGGAACACTAGGTTGCCTAAGGAGGAGTGAACTGGCCCAGGTCGGAAAAAACTAGGCTGGGAGCATTGTCATATCAAGGGGTAAAGTGCCAGTGTAGCAGGTATAAGGGCCCTGAGTTCAAATCCCAATACCGAAGAAAATTAAAAAAGAAAGAAACAAAAAGGAGAAGAAAGAGAACAAAGAGGAGAAGAGGAGGAGGAGGAGGGAGAGGAGGAGGAGGAAGAGAAGGACTATAAGAGGGAGTTGGAGCCAAGCACATGTTAATCCCAGTACTTGGGAGGCAAAAGCAGGAGGATGAAAAAGTCCAAGTCAGCATGAGCTACACAGAGAGACCTTATCTCACAAAACACACGCACAAACATGCTATAGAATTAAATTAGTAATGGTCTGTAGACATACCAGGTTTTTGTCTGCGTGGCCTTCTCTTGACTCGAGGACCAACTCCTTGTCCTTCCTTCCAACCCATTTTTCTTAGCAATTCAAACCCAACAGATAACCTAGGAGACCAAGGTAGGCATTGGACATGAACTTCTTTTACAAGGCCAGCAGTAGCAGCAGCAGGAAGCAAGTGGCATCTGCTTCTGGTCTCATCTTATCTGGGCTCACCCATCCCCCATGTCACACTGCTGTGACACAGCAGGTGTAGCCACAGCTCCCTGAGCTTGGGCACCGATGAGCTGGGAAGTTCATCAAAAATCTCTCCCAGGCCTTTGGACAGTCCCTATCTAGCATGTGTCTTGGGCCAATCTGAGGCTGCCACATCAGGCCACATCCTACCACAAGCCCCCTGGAAGAGAACAGAGAGGTGTGGGGAAAGAAAAGGTAGAATGAGATAGGGAACCCCAGCAGCTGGCCAGGCCAGAGGCTGGGGCTCCTAAGCCCTTTAATAAGGATACCTTAAGACCTCTTGGGCAAAAGCCCCTTTATGTCAACTTCTAGTCTAGGAAAGATTCTCTTGGCTTGCTGTCAATCAACTCCAAGGTAAGACATTACACACATAAACACACACACACACACACACACACACACACACACACACACACACACACACACACACAAACTCTCCTCACTTAGGAAAGATTCTCTTGGCTTGCTGTCAATCAACTCCAAGGTAAGACATTACACACATAAACACACACACACACACACACACACACACACACAGAGCAAACTCTCCTCACTTTGCTGGTGTTACGAAGTCATCGAGCAGAGTGGCTCCAGGAATGGGGGCTGTTGCAGCTACCAGTTGCCTGGCTTTTTCTTGGATTCTGTCTTTGGTTTTGGAAGCAAAATCATCTGTGGTGACAATTGCTTTAGGTGCTATCCCAAATTCACTAAGATCCTTCAAAAGAAAGAATGCACACAGAATTCCATTATTTGGAGGGATGATGTGTCACATGGGTTTCTTTTTCTTTTCTTTTTTATTGGGGGACAGGGGGCGGCGGGCGGCGGTGCCTAACCTGGGACTTGAACTCAGAGCCTGGGTGTCATCTCTGAGGTTGTTTTTTTTTTCTTTTTTCAAGGCTGGCCCTCTGCAACTTGGGCCACAGCTCCACTTCCAGGGTTTTGGTACTTAACTGGAGATAGGAGTTTTACAGACTTTCCTGCCTGGGCTGGATTTGAACCTATATCCTGACATCTCAGATTCCTGAGTAGCTATGTTTACAAGCATGAGCCACCGGCACCTGGCAAGTTTTGTTTTTTTAAAAAACAAATCAGCCGGGCCCTGGTGGCTCACACCTGTAATCATAGCTACTCAGGAAGCTGAGATCTGAGGATCATGGTTCAAAGCCAGCCCAGGCAGGAATGTCTGTGAGACTCTTATCTCCAATAAACCACTGGAAAACCAGAAGTGGCGATAGAGCGCTTTCCTTGAGCAGAAGAGCACAGGGACAGCGCCCAGTCCCAGAGTTCAAGCACCACTATTGACCAAAAAAAAAAAATCAATGGCTGGGAATGTAGCTTAGTGGTAGAATGCTTGATTAGCATGCATAAAACCCTAGGTTTGATTCCTTAGTACCTCAGTACTTTACCACTTGACTGTGGGTCAAGTGGTAAAGTGCTAGCCCTGAGCAAAAGAAGCTCAGGGACAGTGCCTGAGCTGAAGAGCACAGGGACAGCACCCAGGCCCTGAGTTCAAGCCCTAGGACAGGCAAAAAAAAAAAAAAAAATCAAGTCAGGCCCTGGTGGCTAACACCTATAATCCTAGCTAGTCACAGGAAGCTGATCTAAGGATTATGGTTCAAAGCCAGCCTCGGCAGGAAAGTCACTGAGCCTCTTATCTCCAATGAACCATCAGAAAATTGGAAGTGGCACTGTAATAGAGCACTAGCTAGCCTTGAGGGAAAAATGCTCAGGGATAGCACCCATGCTCTGAATTTAAGCCCCACAACCAAGAACAACAAAAATAAATAAATAAAATTAAAAAAAAAAAATCAAGGAGCCGGGTACCAGTGGCTCAGGAGGCTGAGATCTGAGGATTGCAGTTCAAAGCCAGCCTATGCAGAAAAGTTCCTATGAGACTCTCCACTTAACCACTCAAAAATGAGAAGTGGTGCCCTGGCTCAAGTAGTAGAACACTAGCTCAGGGGCAGTGCTCAGGTCCTAAGTTCAAGCCCCACAACCAATCATAACAACAGGGGCTGGGAAGGTGGCTCAGTGGTAGAGCGCTTGCCTTGCATGCATGAGGCCCTGGGTTCGATTCCTCAGCACCACATAAGCAAAAAAAAAAAAGCCAGAAGTGGCACTGTGGCTCCAGTGGTAGAGTGCTAACCTTGAGCTGAAGAGCTGAGGGACAGTGCCCAGGCCCAGAGTTCAAGTCCCATGACCGACAAAAAAAAAAAAAAAGCCAGAAGTGGCACTGTGGCTCCAGTGGTAGAGTGCTAACCTTGAGCTGAGTGCTGAGGGACAGTGCCCAGGCCCAGAGTTCAAGCCCCACAACTGACCAAAAAAAGGGCAAGTTTGATGGACGCTAGTGACTCATGCTTGTAATCCTAGCTACTCAGGAGGCTGAGATCTGAGAATCAAGGTTCAAAGCCAGCCCTGGCAGGAAAGTCCATGAGACATTTATCTTTAATTAACCACTAGAAAACCAGAAGAGTCTGCTGTGACTCAAAGTGGTTAGAGCCCTAGCCTTGAGCAAAAGAACTCAAAGACAGAGCCCAGGCCTTGAGTTCAAGCTCCATGACTGACCAAAAAAAAAAAAGGAGTCAAGTTTTACATATCTACCTCTTCATCCATAAAATCTTCAGGTCCAAGGACAGATTTGTCTGCTCTGTTCTGTCGTGAAGACACAAAGGTTGAGGGTGTCCATCCTAGAAAGAAAGTAGTTCAGAATTTTACAATCCAATATAGCATTCTAGTTTCTGACTAGGCCACTAAGTAACATGCTGGGACTTGAAACTCAGCTACTGCCCATCTTGCTGTGTGGTGGACATCAATCACTTCACATCTGCTCACATTAGTCCCTCCCACCAGCGGACACAGCTCAGTGCACACCCAGAGGTTTCCTCTCAACTATTAAGAAATAAGCTGGCAGCAATGGTGGCTCACACCTGTCATCCTAGCTACTCAAAAGGCTGCAGTCTGAAGATCAAGGTTTGAACCTAGCATATCTTCAATTAATCAGCAAAAAAAAAACAGAAGTAGAGTTGTGGTTCAAGTGGAAGCGCACCAGCTTTGAGCAAAAGAAGCTAAGTAACTGCACAAAGCCTTAAGTTTAAGCCCCAGTACTAACATAAAGGGGGGAGGGGAGGAGATGGGAGGGGTTGGAATCATAGGTATTTCAACCATTTGCTCTGGCAGTAGAACAGTTGCTAGTGGGAAAATCTTACCTTCTTTAGAGCCAACGGTATTGAAGTACCCAGCAGAGAAGCCACCACTAAAGGCTCCATGGAACCGTTTATACCTTCCTTTTTCATCTCTTACTGTCTGGTCCTGAAGAGGAATGGGTTTCTTTGGCCTTTCACCTGGAAATAAAATAAATAAACAAACCATTTTGTTGTTTAAAAAACACTTAAACATAAGTTGGGCACAGTAGCTCCCACTTGTAATCCTAGCTACTTGGGAGGCTGAGATCTGAGGATGGAGATTTGAAGCCAGCCTGGGTAGACAAATCTGTGAGACTCTCATCTCCAATTAACCAGCAAAGTGGAGGTGTGGCTCAATTACTAGAGTACCAACCTTGAGCAAAAAAAGAAAACCCAGTCAGGCGCTGGTGGTTCATGCCTGTAATCCTAGCTACTAAAGATACTGATATCTGAGGATCACAGTTTGATGCTAGCCCAGGCAGAAAAGTCTCAGTGAGACTATTATCTCCAATTAACCACTCAGAAACCAAAGTGGCACTGTGGCTCAAGTAGTAGAGAGCTAGCCTTGAGCACAAACAGGCTCATGGGCCTTGAGTTCAAGCCCCACAACAGACAACAAAACAAAACTCAGAACATTTTTAAAAAGCCAAGTGAGAGCTCCGGGCCTTGAATTAAAGTTACAGTACTGAAAGAATGAGGACAGAACTTTTATTGAAATGCTCATAAAAAAGTATTTTTGCCATGGGCTGGAAATGTGACTTAGTGGTAGAGTGCTTGTCTAGTGTACATGAAGCCCTGGGTTCGATTCCTCAGTACCATATATACAGAAAAAACCAGACACGGCACTGTGGTTCAAGTGGTAGAGTGCTAGCCTTGAGCAAAAGAAGTTCAAGGACAGTGCCCAGGCCCTGAGTTCAAGTGCCAGGACTAGCAAAAAAAAAAAAAAAAGGCATTTTTTGCCAGGCACTGGTAGTTCACACATGTAATCCTAGCTACTCAAGAGGCTGAGATATTAGGGTTGAGGTTTGAAGCTAGCCCAGGCAGGAAAGTCCGAGAAACTCTAACCTCTAATAAACTACAAAAAACAATCAGAAGTAGAGCTGTGGCTCAAGTGGTAGAGTGCTAGCCTTGAGCAAAAGCTTAGGGACAGTGCCCCGGCCCTGAGTTTAAGCCCGGTACTGGCACCTCCCCCTCCTCCCCCTCCCCCAAAAAAGATTCTTAGTTCAATATTGTTTAACTGAAAGTAAATTTTTTTTTTGGTAGGTTGTGGGGCTTGAACTCTGGGCCTGGGCTCTGTCCCTCAGCTCTTCAGCTCAAGGCTAGTGCTCTATTACTTGAGCCACAGTGCCACTTCTGGTTTTCAGGTGGTTTATTGGAGATAAGAGTGTCACAGACTTTCCTGCCCATTCTGGCTTTGAACCATGAACCTCAGATCTCAGCCTCCTGAGTAGCTAGGATTAGAGGCGTGAGCCACTGGTACCTGGTTTGAAAGTAAATTTATCCCATTTACTCCACAATAATTAACTATCCTATGAAGCAGGTTTTCTTTTCTTTTAATGTTTATTAGCATACATTAATATTAATAATACAGTAGGGTTTCATTGTGAAATTTCCAACAATGTAGAAACTAAAAGTAAAGGAATGTCCAGTTTTCTGGTGCTAACGAGTTCTCCCTTGTAGCTTGGGAAGGTTTAGGTCATTTCTGGCCATGGAAACAACAGCAGGGCGATAAAGGGTTGCTTTTGAAGACTAGGAGCTTTGAGGTCAAATTCTCCTCCTTTACTTACTTTTGTGGTCTTGGACAAATTACTTAATCTCTCAAAGGCGTAGCTTCCATTACTGTAACTTTAGGATGCAAGAAATTCAGCATGGCTTAGAAATGCAGTACACACACACACTCCACTTCTGCCTGTGTGCCTGGCATGAATACTCAGGTAAGGCAGGGTTTCTCAGCTATATGGACAGTTTGTGCTGAATAATTCCTTGTTGTGAGATGTGCTGGGGGCTGGAAGATAGTTCAGAACACTGCTGATCTACAACACTAGATGTCTGTAGCATGCCTCCCTCCCACCCACCCATAAGTCTGATACAAAGATGTCTGCAGACACTGCCCATTGTCGCCAGCTGAGAATGACTGGTTTAAAATAAAAGAAGGTGGGTCCTGCCAGTACAATACTGGTTTTGCCATTCTCTATGTACTCTTGATCTAGAAGGAGATCCAGAGACATCTCAGTGTAACAGGTGGCTATAAGATGATGACGGTCAACCACTCCCCACAGGGCACCTAAGGAGAAGGCACCATCTCTAACCACAGTGCTAGGGGAAAAAAATCATAAGAAGAGGTGGCATTTTAACCAGACTCTGTTGTAATTACTGCTACTAATAACAACTAATTCCTTCCTTATCAGGGATATGATAAATTAAATCATGAAGGTACTCATTAAGTACCTTCCCTGAGGTCCACAGTTAATAAGCACAAAGAAAAACCAGATCTCAACTCTGGTCTCCAAGCCAGGTATGGTACCCACAATGTTCCCTTTCTTATTTGCTGATCAAATGTTTACTGAAGGAATCACCAGTGGCTCATGCCTGTAATACTAACCACTCAGGATCCTGAAATCTGAAGTTCAAATCCAGTCTGGGCAGACAAATCCTTGAGACTCTTGTCTCCAATTGACCAGCAAAAAGCTGGAAGTAAAAACATATAACTCAAAGTGGGAGATTATCAGCCTTCAGCAATAAAGCTGAGGGACAGTGCCCAAGTCCTGAGTTCAAACCCCAGAACCAGCAAAACAAAAACAAAAACACGTATCATATATGACATATTATGCATACATATGTTACATCTATACTCTTTAGTATATCTATAGCCAGGCGTGATGGTGTACCCCTCCAATCCCAAACAATCTGAAAGATGAGACAGGCCAGCCTGCACTACATGGTGAAGCCCTATTTCAAAGAACAACAAAGTCAATCTCCTTATCATGCCAGGACACAGCCCCTGTTTGACCCCTGTGACAACTATGATATTTTTTTTTTCTGGCACCATCTTTTCCACCCTCACCAATCCTGTCTATCCCTCTCTTTGCCAAACTGCCCCTCCCTTGAGTATCCCCTCCATCCCGTATCTTTGCAGGCCAATTTTTCTTGTGGGCTGGTCCTGGGGCTTGAACTCAGGGCCTGGGGCGCTGTTCCTGAGCTTTTTCAAAACTCAAGGCTAGAGATCTACCACTTGAGCCACAGCTACACTTCTGGGCTGGGCTGTGTGTGTGTGTGTATGTGTGTGTGAGATCTACCACTTGAGCCACAGCTACACTTCTGGGCTGTGTGTGTGTAAGTGGAGGTAAGACTCTCACAGATTTTCCTGCACAGGCTGGTTTCGAACCACGATCCTCAGATCTAGCTTCCTGAGTAGCTCCAGCACTCGGCTCCAAAGCCATCTTTCGCCCCTTCGTTTCCAGTTTGAGGGCACACGTCCTCTTTCCTCGGGGGCGGGGAAATGGGGGTGTCTTGGGGAAGAAGCTGCTGACCATCCCCGGCTCACACAACCACCATTTTTCTGGGTCTCTGATCCCCAACTTCCAGAACAGCCAGCAAACCCGAGAGAGCAGAGCGAGCTGTACCGACAGCACCCCCGGCCGCCTCCCTCCAGACCCTGCCCGCACCTTCTTCCAGGGGCTCTAGGCCCGTGCCATAGCTGACCAGGTCCTCGTCGCTGTCTGCCGCCGCCATCCTGGCCTCTTCCGGGCCCCGCCCCTTCGCTACGGGGGCCGACGGCGGTCAAAAGACGTCACAGTTTTTCTCCTCCGCGAACCCAAAGGATGCTTTTAAGTTTAGTGAGTTTGTCTGAGTGTCTATCCTAGTTCTGTTTAAAAGGTCCAGTGGGAAGTGAGTTCCTTGGGAGAGCTCTCTCCCTGAGCTTTGTTTTACGTATTTTATTTTCTTATGGCTAGTACTATTTGTGCCACAACTCCACGTCTGGCTTTTTCTGGGTAGTTATTTGGTAACAAGAGTTTATATAGACTTTTCTGCTTAGGCTGGTTTTGACCTTTGATCCTCAGATCGCATCCTCCTGTATAGATAGGATTACAGTTATGGTTACTCTGTCTATCTGTCTGTCTCTGATATAGATTTTTGGTGATGCAGGCTGGCCTTGAACTCGGAATCTCCTGCCCTCATCCTTACAGAAGGCTGAAATTCATAGGTGTACACGGCCATGCCCAGCTTCTGCCGGTTCTTAGAATAGCCCTCTATGAAAACGTCTTTTCTAGAAAGTTTTACAGACTAACGTAGGGATGAGAGACTTTATGTTTTTACTCATTTATTTATTTCCAACATTGACTTGGTTATTACTGTTGTATTATAAAAATTTCGAACAGGGGCTGGGAAGGTGGCTCCGTGGCAGAGCGCTTGCCTTGCATGCCTGAGGCCCTGGGTTCGATTCCTCAGTACCACATAAAGAAAAAAGCTGAAAGTGGCACCGTGGCTCTGTGGTAGAGCGCTAGCCTTGAGCTGAAGAGCTGAGGGACAGCGCCCAGGCCCAGAGTTCAGGCCCCACGACTGGACCCCCCCCCCAAAAAAAAATTTCGAACAACCCCTAATACACTTTAAAAAAAAAAAGCGGTATGGTGTGTTTTAGCCGCAGCCTTCACTGAGATGGCCAAATTCAACTACACAAAGGAGTCCCTTGGTGGGAAGGGGTCAAAGTAACGGCGGATCTCAATGGGGAAGCAGCATGGCCTCCTGAGCCAGGGCCTCCAAGCTCCCAACGAACGGTTCAGCCAGGCATTCGCCCTAGAGGACCATACTGTAGTGGGATGGAGTGGAGGCTGGCATAAACCCTGGCTCCACCGCCCTAGCCTCTCTTGAACTCAATGTCGGCCTGCTTGTCCCTGAGCTTTTCTCCTCAAAGCTGGTGCTCTACTCCTGTGCCGCAGCTCCACTTGTAGCTTTTTGCTGGTTCATTGGAGATAAAGACTCTCACAGACTTTCTTGCTTAGGCTGGTTTCGAACCTTGGTCCTTCAATCTCAAGCCTCCAGATTACAGTTGTAATGCCTCAACCAAATTTTCTTCCCAGTAATCTCGACCAGCTTGAAAAATCATAGGATCCCATTTTACAGTCGAGAAAACTAAAGTTGGAGTTGGCATCCACCCAGTCCCTCGGGCACAAACCCGGTTCCTGCCAGAGGAAGGTGGCCCCTTTCTCCAGAACCCCCAAAGGCTCCCATGGGATCCGCCTAACCCCAACTTTGGAAGTCAACCAGCCAGCCAGGACGTTCGATGGCGCAGGTCCCCATGGTCCCTTTTCCTGCCCCGTGGACCCAGTGTTTGTTGTCCCCAGACATGTCCGTCAGGGTGGGTCCTGGTCCCCCAAATTTCCACACTTCTGGAGCGCGAGATCTTGATTTTACTGCACCCTGTGGCACCGTGGCTCCCACAGGACCAACACCACCAAGATCATAGGTTCCGGGAGGACGAGGAGGGCGCCCAGCCACCCGTCTCAGATCTCCCAGCAGCGGGGCGATGGCGGAGGGGTTTGGACAGACCCCACGGAGAATGCGAAGCCGAGGTCGGAGACTTCTGTGGGCGGGGCTTCAGGGATTGGTTTGGGACTAGAGTGAGGGCGTGACTTCGGCGAATGGGCGTGGCTAAGAGGGCGGAGTCTCGGTAGGAGGGGCGGGGCTCCCATGCCCGGCGTACAGCGAAGTTAGGGGGTGGAGAAGCCGGGCTCCAAGACTGGAAGACTTGCCCTAGAGCGAGTTTAGGAGTTGAGCTTCAAAGCCCCGAGACTTCGCCTGGGAGGGGCTAGGGGCTTGGTCTCAGAGGGTGTGGAATTGAGCTCCAGGGCTCGGTGGCTGGACCTGAGGCTGGGAGGAGGCCTCAGTGGCTCCCTGGCGCCAAGACTTGGCCTGGGGCGGGGGATGAGGGCGTGGCCTCGTGGCTAAGGCGGGGCTCCCTGGTTTAGCCTACCGCCCGATACGGGCGTGGCCTTTTGGTGGGCGGGGTTACGAGGCTCTCTTGCTTGCCCTCGAGCTGCGGGGAGGGCGTGGTATTCACAGTGGGCGGGACTACAGAGCTCTTAGGCTTGGCCTCGGGCTACGTGTGGGGCGTGGTATCTGCGGTGGGCGGAGCCACAGGGCTCCCAGGCTAGGCCTCGTGGGGGCGTGGCCTCGTGGATGGGGCGGGGCTTCAGGCCTCGCGGGCTCGGACTGGGGCGGGGCTGGAAGGTGGCGGCGCGGGCGGGCGGGGGGCGGGTCCTGGCGCCCTCTGGGGCGCTGGGGCGGCCTCGTCGCCTCAGTCCAGCCCTCGGCGCCAGCGCTGCCAGCATGACCGACGCGCTGCTGCCCGCGGCTCCCCGGCGGCTGGAGAAGGAAGGGGATGACTACTTTCGGAAGGTGGGGTGACTTGGTGCGGGGGTGCGCCCTTCTTCTCCTCCGCAGGTGGCGGAGGGGGCTGTAGGAGCGCGCGGCCCCGGCGGGTCGGCCAGGCCGCAGGGACGATGGAGGGGGCGCGCAGGGCTGGGGCGGATCCCGCTGAGGACAAGTCGGGGGTGGCTGAGGTACAGGTGGCAGCGAGGTGCGCGGGGCTCCTCCCTACGCGGAGGATGGGGGTTCTGGAGAGGTTACTCCGGGTCGTCCAGTTTGTCCATCCCGCCCGCGTGCTTCGAGAAAGGACCCAGGCAGGGATGCTTGGGGGGGGGCGGCCGCCGGCGTGCTTGGCCTGACGGTGTGACCCCCCCAGCCCAGCCCAGCTTCCAGTGGACCGTGAGGATGGTGAGGAAACGACCACCCCAAGACGGGTTGGCGTTCTCTGAGTTGCTTTTTTTTCTTTTTAAGGAGTGAGGGGAAAAGCCCTTAGGTGGAAGGGGACCTCGGGTCCTGCCGGCCTAAGCTGGTCCCAGGCTACTCAGGAGGGCTCCCCTCTCTCCGGGTCACTGTCGGTTCTGCTGCACGCTCACCACTGTCCACCCCCAACACACACTTTGGGGGTGACAGTCCCATAAAAGAGAACCCACCCCCACCTCCCCCTGCCCGCGTCCGGTGGGGGCGCTGGGATTGCTTCACAGGTGGCAGGCAGCAAGGGGCTGGGTTATTAGGAAGCTTTCCAGCTGGGGACGATCACAGGGACACCTGCCACATCTTTCTTCTTGCAAATTCCCAGGGTGTCTAAAAATAGCCTTGGGAACTTGGCTCAGGGGTCACTGGGTGGGTTGTAAGCTTTTTTTTTTTCATTTTTTTATAACAGGTGTGATCACCCAGCGCACCAGTGCGTAATTGTCAATAGGGAAGTGAAACTCCTCTCAGGACAATCAATTCTTAATTGTTCTGAGCCCTTGTAAAATGCCCTTGGCGTCTTCCTCCTTCCCTGGTGACACTGACTACTTTGTTCTTTGGCTTACTGATAGACTGGAGGAGAATCTACAAATAACAGGTGGAGACCAAGTGGAGAAAAAAAAAGGCAAAAAAAAATTTTTTTTTTTTTGCTGCTCTTTTGTTGCTCTTAGTATATTTATATAAGCTCATTTTGAAGTATATTTAAGTTCAAAGATGCCATCATGGAATTACAGGATTATAACTTCTAATTATGTGGGGCTTGGGACACAGGATCACAAGGCCTTGGGATTGGCAGAAAGAAGCTTGGCCCGGGATTCTCAAAGATGTTCATTCCATGGCCCAGGGCCTGACTGCCACCCCCACAAAATTGCTTTGTGGCCTCCAAGTTGCTGCAAACTCTTTGCTGGGACTTAATAGTCTCTTTAGACTGTCATTTCTAACAGGTGGCTTTGTGAATCTATGGAAGCATCTGGGCTTGGGGTGGGAGGGATACAAAGGAAAGCAAGCAAGGAAGAATCACACCTCTGTAGATGCTGGTCCCAAACCTTCCAGAATCAGTTTCCTGGGTTGTGAGTCCCAAAAGAGGATGACACAGGATGCATAGCTGGGTGTTTTTGTCCGTACCGGGGGTTGAACTCAGGGCCTTGTGCTCTTACTTGGCTTTTTTGCTCGAGACCGGTGGCTCTACCACTTAAGCCACAGCTCCATTTCTGCCTGTGTATTTATTTGCTGGTTAATTGGAGGTGGAGTTTCCTGGACTTTCTTGCCTGCCTGGCTTTGAAACTGGATTCCCAGATCTCAGTCTCCAGAGTAGCTAGGATGATAGACATGAGCTGGGTGGGTTTTTAAATTTTTTATTTTTATTTTTTTAATGCAATTTCTCTGCTAGTGGATAAAAGCAAAATATCACCAATCACTGTTTTTCAATTAGAAGCCTCTATTTAGCAAATGAGACCTGGGAACAAATGTTGTGCTATGTCTAAGTTATACCAACCCAAAGATGGGTTTTGATGTGAGGGAAATAAGTGTAGAATCTTGTTTTTTTGGGGGGAGGGTCCGGTCATGGAGCCTGAACTCTGGGCCTGGGTGCTGTCCCTCAGCTCTTCAGCTCAAGGCTAGCGCTCTACCACTTGAGCCACAGCGCTACTTCCGGTTTTTTTCTTTTCTTCTTTTTTTTTTTTTTTTGCTTATGTGGTGCTGAGGAATCGAACCCAGGACCTCAGGCATGCAAGGCAAGCACTCTATCACTGAGCCACCTTCCCAGCCCCTAGAATCTTGTCTTGATGACCTGATTGAGTTTGACACAAGACAGGTGGGTTTTATTTGGGGGAGGGAAGAACATTTTGATTGGAAGGAACAGTTTGGGCTAAAGGCTTGGGATTGTGGGTGCTTGCTCCCACCTAGGCTATGCTGGTGGGAGTGCCGAGTTAATATTTCATGTTTAAACATCGGTGCTCTGGAAGTGTAAATGTGAGGTTTGGATCAGAGAAAGGTGTGTGTGTGGTGAATGTATGTGTGTAAATGCATGCGTGTGTCAGTATCTGGGTTGAACTCAGGGCCCGGGTGCTGTCCCTTAGCATTTTCTGCTCAAGGCTCAACGCTGCCACTTGAGCCACAGCTCTATTTTTGGCTTTTTTTTTCTTTTTTTTTGGTGGCTTATTGGAGATAAATGTCTCACGGACTTTTCTGCCCAGGCTGGCTTTGAATCTTGATTCTCAGACCTCAGCCTCCTGAAAAGCTAGGATTAGAGACATGAGCCACTGGCACCAGGCTAGAGAGTACTTTTTTTTTTTTTTTTTGGTCGGTCATGAGGCTTGAACTCTGGGCTTGGGTGCTGTCTCTGTGCTCTTCAGCTCAAGGTGAGTGCTCTACCGCTTGAGCCACAGCGCCACTTCCGGTTTTCTAGTAGTTTATTGGAGATAAGAGTCTCACAGAGTTTCCTGCCCAGGCTGGCTTTGAACCGTGATCCTCAGATCTCAGTCTCCTGAGGAGCTAGGATTCCAGGTGTGAGCCACCACGGGCGCCCAGAGAGAGTACATTTTGACAGCTGAGTGGACTATAAGTGTGGGGGTGGTGGAGAAATAATGGAGGGGATAGGGTGGAATGGGCCAGGTAGGAATTGGGAGGATTTGATGTTTGGTAGCCCCTACAAGGTTTGCCCTTCTAACTCCCATACTGAATGCTGGTTTAAAACCTGGACCACCCATCCTTCAGGCAATGTCAGCATTGCCTGGGCTACTGGTCTTTCCCATTAGTTGCACCCTTGACTCAGACCAGGGTCCAGATGAAGGCAGTATTCCCAGTGAGGAAGTTGGAATGATGAGACCTGGATAAAGGCTGAGTTTGGAGGGACAGGAAGAACTGTTGGGATGGAATGGGGGGAGGGGTGGGCACAGGTGGATTATCCCCTCTGGAAGAAGATAGGAATACAGAAGAGAGAAAGAAGCTTGGGTATATTTCTCTCTGTGTGTTTATTTGCTTATTTTAGGGTTATTTGGCAGTCCTGGAGTATTTGTTTTTGTTTTTACAGGGTTATTTGATTCACAGTTGTGGAGTTTGAATTCAGGGACTTGCAATTACTATGCAGAAATTCTCACTTGAAGCATGCCTCCAGCCCTATTTTTCAATATGTGTGTGTGTGTGTGTGTGCATGTGTGTGCGTGTGTGTGTGCATGTGTGTTGGCACTAGGATGAATTCAGGGCCTGGGCACTGTCCCTTAATTTTTTATTATTACTATTTTTTTTTTCACTGAAAGCTGGTGCTGTACCACTTGAGCCATACCTCCACTTCTGGCTTTTTCTGGTTAATTGGAGATAAGAGTTTCCAGTTTTAGTCGTCAGATCTCAGCCTCTTGAGTAACCAAGTTTACAGGTGTGACCTATCACACTAGTCTTAATAGTCATTTCTGATGAAGTCAAGCTTCTATTTTCCCTCTCCTTCCACAGTTCTTGAAAATTCCATACTACTCCATTCGAAAACTGCTTATGGAATGACAGCTCTGTGTCTGACTTCTGTTAGTGTCTGAGACACCCTCACCCACATGGCTTCAAGCAGGCCAGGCAAGTGCTCTACCACTGAGCTAGAGCGCCAGTGTTTGACCCTGCAGTGCAGGGCATGCCTCTTGTCCTGGATGTTTTGTTCAAATAGGGAAGGCTTGAAAAGTAGCCAGCTTGTTTGTTTTAGCTCACTGAGGCGAGGGAGAAATAGGGTAGTTCCACAGACCATGTTCGAACTGTGTTTTGTGTGACTTGAACACAAAATGAAACCTAATTGCCCAAAGTCCCTTATGCCAGCTGGCCCTGGACAAACTAATAGAGAATATGTCAGGTCTTTATTCAAAGCAGGTCTTTTGGGATTGTGTAGGACTTGGCTATACAGAATTAAAGGATGAACTAGCTCCTGCTCTGATGGGGACACCCCCCCCTCTAATTCCCACCCCTCACCCAGTCCTGTTTTCTGTTTATGTATTTGTCTTACAAACCTTAATCTCTTCTCCCTTCCTCCTTCTTCCCCCCTGGCTCTCCCTCTGAAAGGACTCTGAAATTCTCTGAAATTTTCTGATTTATCAGTTAATCGTGTCTTACATCTTTTTCTGGCTTTTTGCTGTATTTTTCTCAAACTTTTTAAGTGCATAAATGGGTTGTTTGTAGAGAGTACTTCTTTCTTAGAGGACAATTACAACCAGAACTCTTCCCTGCCCTCATCCCATTTTTGAAGGTGTTGGTTCTGCCCTTTAGTTAAGTGTGTAGCCATTTATGCTTCCTAGAGGTTGTATTTTGTGAGCTGATCCTTTCTCTGAGGCTCCCCTGGGGCTGTAGTTCTAAATCCTCCTAGAAAACTTGTTCTTGGCCTTGGAAAAACCTAGCTGAGGAAAACAAAACAAAAAAACCTGAAGGGGAAGAGCTTTAGTTTATAGAAGGAGATACTCAGTACAAAGTATACTATTGTCCCTTGTTATCTCTCTGCTCCTTCATCCTTAGGGAGCACCAGTGTCCCTAAATGAATTTAGCTCCCCATTGTTTTTAGTCAAGAACTGGAGAAGTTATTTGTTGTTCTCACT